TAGCTTGGATTACATCCAGAACTCAAAATCTATATTACACAAAGCATTGTATCCAAAATATGGATCTCCTTATGATGATGAATGTTCAAAATATGCGGGTTCAACTGCTTGGAGGCTGATCCATGATGGTGCCAAATTTTTAAAACCAATTTTCAGATGGAGTATAGCTGATGGGAAATCAATTGATGTATATGAAGACACCTGGATTATAGACAAAAGTCTTAATAGATGGCCAACATTGGTAATTCCTCAAAGCAATACTTTTTCAAAAGTTGAGAGTTTTATCTCTGAAGGAAGATGGGATGCGAATAAATTGGGGGAAGCCTTCGGAATTTAGATGGTGGATTTGATATGCAAAGTCTAGATTAAACCTGATCTAATAGAAGACAGAATGGAGCTCATTTACAATAATTCAGGAAAGTCTATCTCTGTTATGGCAGCTGAAGTGCTGCAGGAAAAAGATGAGACAGAACTTAAATATTGGGAATGGATCAGAAAAGCTGCTGTAAACCCGAGAATAGAAAATTTATGGTGGAAATTGTTCCATAAAGCTATCCCTACTAACCAGTTTTTAACATATAGAAGATTGCAAAATTATGATAGATGTCCAAGAGATTGTGATTGAACATGTGGCTATCAATTGCAAAAAATTGAAGGATATTGTCAAAGTTGTAAACATATGGGGATTTCAAATTCCAGAATTTGAATCCTTCAATAAATGCTGCAGATGGAAGAGTTCCCAAAATTCTTGATTAGTAAATTTATATTGCAACATAGTTTTTCTTTCATTGAAAGCTAGGAATTAGTGGATTCATAACGGTATTGAGGGGAATTCATTGAGTATAGCAGCTAATGCTGTTAATTATACTGAAAATTCTTCAAAATCATTTATAAATGTCTTGGGTAGCTTGGATGTCAATCAACAAATGCTGTTGGAAAATAGTTGGCACCCTCCTCCATCCGATTGGGTTAAAGTAAATGTATATGCCTCTCTTCTACCTTCATATAAAGCAGGAATTGGTGGAGTTTTCCGAGACAACAAGGGAAGATTTCTATTGGGATTTGGCAAGCAATGTCTTCATTGGGATATATCACATTTGGAACTTTTTTCCATACAAGCTATTATAGAAGTTGTGAAAGATTGGATGTATGGTTTCAAAGGAATCATCATTGAAGGGGACAACTACAATATCATCAGATTTCTCTAGGTTATCACAAAAATAGATGGAAAAAATCGGTACAATTCCCATTTTTAAATAGTTTCAATAATGTTATTTTTAATTGTATAGACAGGAAATATAGTAAGTTAGATGATCTATGTGCTAACTATGCTATCTTTAGTTCTTTCATTTGGGAAGACATCTATTTGGATAAGATTCCTCCTTCTTTTCTTAAAATTTTAAAAGAGGAATCAGATGCTTCTCCTGGGTAGTTTGTAATCCCTTTTATTGTCATTTTTTTATTTTTAATATAGCTTCTTGCTTCTTTAAAAAAAAAAAGAAATATTTGATTTTTGTATTGTAAAATTAGTTTTACTTCCGCACTAAGGGGTTTTAACATTTTGGCTGTTTAAGAAATTTTTTAAAATAATCAGTTCACCCCCTCTTGGTTAGCCTCGAGACTAATTTTGAGGGTTTAATAATCCTCACAAACTTTCACTATTCTCAGATTTAGCTTCAACTATCCAACCAAAAAACCCTTTGAAAATTTCACCAAAGCACTAGTAAATACATTAATTTTCCCTCCACCATCTAGAAGCATTTTCAAGTCTATTGACTCCACCATTTGGATGATCTAGTCTCCCTATAATTATGCAACATGCTCTTTGCCAAATAGGGTTTACCATAATTAGCCAATTGTATCCTTTTTACACTAATTGATCCAAACTTAAGTCTAATGCTTTTAATTTATATTGAAACACCTCTACATAAATTATAAGTCCTTAGAGGTGTTTAATTTAAAGCTCCTTCAATCAAATTTGCAAAGCCATGAACTAAAAGGGTTTTATATCAAGTTCACTTAATTACACATTATCACTAGGTTAAACATGCATCTTTTTGTGTGTCCTATAACAACACAAAGCATGCGTTAAAGTGAAAGTTTTATTAAGGGTCAATCCATATGACTTTGATAAAGCTACAAAGCTAACTTTACTCAGGGATCCAATTAAGTTAATGCTTATCACATTGATCCTGTCAAATTTTAGATAACATTGAACGAGATTTCAAAATGAATATTTATTAATTTTAAAGATAGGAAACAAAAGATTATTTAAATTTTGGCCTTACATATAACCTATGTATGTTATGGATTCAATTTTGAAAATCAAATTACATGATGTGGATTTATGTTATGTGCCTATAGTCATATACAATAATTTCTTGAAGGGTTTAAGGCCATCAAATCCTGATTGGAACCACACCAGGTATAATTTTAGCCAAGATTTGGCTGTCTATTATGAGTGGATTGAAGTGGAGAATTTTGTGGGATTTTTATTTAAAAAAATATTTTTAGAGCATAGTAGGGTTAAATCCAAATAAAACCACTAAAACTCGGCTCTTAGTAATTTTTGTATTCATATCTAACAAAAATTATTATTAATATGCATAATTTTGCTTAATAATTAAATTTAACTTTGATGCGCACTAATACTCTGCTCTTAGTCGGCTAATACTAATGCCAAAGCTTGTAAAGGTCAAATTTTAATGTGTTATTTTTATAATTTGTTGAAAGTTGCGGAATGCTAGGAATAGTGTAAAATAATAATAATATCCCATTTGTGATTGGTAATGTTTTATTAGCTCTATTTATAAGAAATAATTTTTTTTGTGACTTGTAATTTAATAAGTTATACTCAATGAAAGAGTGAGTGTGAGACTATATTAGCAAACCATTTTAATCTTCCTATTGTCAATTCTAAAAATAAATGTATTGCAATTATCGCTTGATCTATACCTCCTAAATATTAAAGGATTTTGTAAAGGTTGAGATAAATTTGGAACTTACAGTGTGATTATAAGAAATAGGGGTGTTAATATTTTATACGAATAGAAAATTCGACTCTAATTCGACTCAAAATTTTGAGTTATGGTCAACCTATTTTGCAAACGGGTCGAGTTCGGATTCCCGGATTTGACCCATTTGAAAAAACGGGTCAAGTTCGAATTGACCCAAAAATTCGAACTCAAACTGGGTTAACCCTTTTGAAACAACCTGGCCGCATCTACACTGATCGAGTCTGCCTGCCCGTCGCGTCCAAGTCTACCCGCTGTCCGCACGTCACGTTGAGTGCCCACTTGTCACGTCTCAGTGTTTGTCCACTATCTCGCGCTGATCATGTATGCTCATTGTGGCGCGCTTGCCTCACCTGCTGCCATTGATACGAGCCCTGCCATCCTGTCGTCAACTCAAGCCCCACCATCCTATCATCAAGCCATCCCGGGGTTACAGAACCTGTCGAGTCGACTCAACCTGGTAACTCAACGTGTCGGGTCCGGGTATGAACTTTTTAACTTATTTATATAATCGGGTCGGGATAGGATCAACCTGTTTAAACCCGATTCAATTCCGGGTACCCAAACCTGACCTGAAACCTAATTTTGATACCCCTATAATAAGTTAATGGTTGTGTTGATTTAGCTTTGACTGGAATTGGTGTTGGTGCTATTGAGGGCCACTTGTTTGGAGCCCGACCCTAAGATTTTTCCACCTGCTGCTCCTGTTGTTGATGTCTCTATGAATATTATGATTCATTCTATTCCTCATGGGGTTAACAATGTCGTTATTGATTGTGTGGCCTCTTTAATGGACTTGCAAGTTTTCGATCACGAGACTTGTGTGGGTAACAAAAAGGAGATGGCTTATAATGATCTTAAACTTATTGCTCCCCCTGTTCTTGTTGAGATGGTTTTTTCTCATGATAATATGGATGGGGAGGATATTGATTTATTTGATGTTAATAAAGCGGTTATGAATGACTATTCTAGTGGATTGGGTATTGCTTTTGATAGTTCTCTTCTTTATATAGGACCAAATTAGAACGTGCCATTAATTGATATCCCGGTTTCGATTATATCTAATGATGCTTTAAAAGCTCATTTGGCTTCCAAAATTTTAGACAACGGTGTGGATCATTCTGATTGGTTGGATGAATCATTCTCTTCAACTTGTGGGGGTGCTCGGGATCATTTGGATGAGCCAGTTGTATAGTTTGAATGTCGGGCACATTGTTGAGAATGCTTTTCATGGCGGCAACCATCATAGAAGAAAACGTAAAAAAAAACTCTCTGCTTACTGTTGCCATTGTACTTGGTGTCTCTTTGTTATTGGTTCGTGGGCCTTTTGGGTGATGGGATCGGTTTGGCTGTTTTTAATAACTCGATTGTTGGTTTTGCCGTGAGGTTTAGTTGTTGCTTGGGCATTTGTGGTGGTTTGTGGGGGGTCCTATGGGGACTCTTGGCTTACTGTTCTAGTTGTTGGCTGGTTGTTTGATTGGTCTGGCTTTGGGTTTTGCCCGGATGTTTCAAGTACTGTTGCTCTGTTGGGATTTAGACTATGATGTTTCAACTGTTTGCCCTCCTGGATGGCCTGGGCTTGTGTTGACAACCTTGGTGGATGTTCTCTTCATTGATAATTTTGTGCGGTTTTTTATCGCAAATGGATGGCCTTTGTCTGGCTACTGGGTGGCTTTGTTGAGTCCGGCGAGCTTTTTAGCCTTCTTTGTTTATGTTAGCCATTTTGCTTTTTCAGATCATCCTATACTTGGTTTTTCATCGTTGAACTCTTTGAGTCTTTCTTTGTATTTAGTTTTCTGATTAATGGATGCATCTTTATTTAAATAAAAATAAAATTAAAATAATGGTCTGCCTTTTGAATATTTGTCATAATTTATAGCAAAAAATAACAATTACATTTTATTTTTTTTAAACTACATATAAAAAAATAATAAAAGTTGCCAACAAGTCTGCTATAATTGTGAGAAAAACTTAAAAGAAATCACATCAAGACTTATCGGTAATGAAGAGAAATTAAGGCCATTGGCCATGCATGCCTCTTGAGGCGTGAATTTGATTTCTCCGGATTAGAATTTTGCAGCAAGCTAGATAAGAGAGTGAGAGATGTGAAGAGGAATTCGAATTCTGTAAAATACAGCAAGTGGGCTGAGATGGTGGCGCCGGTTCCAGATGAAGCCACGTCCGCCGAAGTGCATGTGACGGCACTAAACTGTATCAGCATCTCGGATCCTGACATCCAGAAATCCATTTCACTTCTGAAGCAGGTCCGTTTCTCCTCTTATCCCTCTGTAGTTGTCCCGTTTCTGAAATTTTTTATTTGTAGTTTAGGTATTTTTAGTATTATGCAGGGCTTTTGATTTTTATTTTTATTTCTTAAATTGATTACGTCATGGTGTTGTTTGCTTTAATATCCGTATGATAGATGCGGGTATAGTCATTAGTCAGCAAATATTTTTGAAGTATCCATGATTGTAGTGGACGTGACTGGATTTCAATGTTCATAGTCATCCTATCAGGAAAAAAATGGTCTCGTGATATTTGATCAAATTTTTGGTGTCTCAATGTACCTGGATTGATTTTGAGATGAGTGTAATATAAATTCTGATTTATTCTCTATTTATTTTACTCATCTAAAAACGAATGAGATCCATCATGACGAACATTTTTGTGCAAGATATTATGGCCCAAGAATTTTTATAATTATGAAATATTTTGAAAATTTTTATTTCTAATGTTAGACATGATATTATTACTATATTTGTCTCTTTTATATGATTGTGTTGTATTCTGGTGATTTTTAACAACACCACTATATTTTTTTATCTGTTTCAGGCGTGCCTATAGATTCTGGATTTTTCTATGTAATTGATCATGGCATTAGCCAGGAATTCATGAATGAGGTTTTCTTCCAGAGTACAAAGTTTTTTGCTCTACCTTTGCATAAAAAAATGGAGCTGTTTCGTAATGAAAAGCTTCGAGGTTATACACCCACACTTGATCAGACTCTGGATCCCGAAAATCAAGTTCAGGGTTCGTTTCCAATTCTATGGATTTTACTTAGTCACCTTTACATCTCCCTTTAGTTCCGCTTAATGTTGAAGGCATTTTCATGAAATCATACTTATTGAATCATAAATTTAATGCCTGAATGAAAAATAGCTTTATAAATCTATATGAAATATTACAAATCACTATTGTTAATAATTTTTTTTCATTTCTTTGATTTCAATATTTAAATAACTTAATAAAGGAAAAAAAAACTATAATAATGGTCTCTTCAAAGTATATGTAACTTTCATGAACATGATTTAAAAAGTAACTATTTATTCCACCATATAAAACTGCCCTTTATTTTTTTACCTAATTTTGAATTTGTGTTCTCTTCTATATATTTTTGAGATCTAAAATCTAGAGAGAGAAAATATCTCATCCAATAATTTAAAATCTTAAAATTCTTGGATGAGATGTCAATTTCATGGCCCATTCTCCTTTATATTTTCTCTCCCCTTTTTATTTCTATATTATATAGTATATAAATATACATGTAGTCTTAAATGCATATATGAAAAATTTTAAAGTTAAAGATGTCAAAAAAAAAAAACTTACAAAATGATTTGAAAATATTTCAATAATTACCTTTTCAAATTCTAATATCATTTTACTTGAAAGAAAACTGATTCCAATATCATTTTCTTAAATTTAATTTAAACATGAGAGGGTTAAAATTATTGGATGAGAATTCATTTTCATGGTCCATTCTTCTCTACATTTTCTCTCTTTTTAATTTCTTTAAACATAAAACGGCGGGCTTCCGATGACCCAATTAGAAAAGTAGATGTATTGGATTTGACTTATGTTAAGAAATGCAGAGGTAGACTAAAAAGACTTTGTTAGAAAATATGACTAAAAAGACTTGGTTAGAAAATATTGGAAATGACCTTTCTTTATTAGATTAAAATGTGAATTTGACTTTTAACATGGTACAATGGAGAAAAAAGATTCATGTAGATGACCCCATATATTGGGATAAAGGCTTGATGTTGTTGTTGTTGTATAGTATATAGATATGCATGTAGTCTTAAATGCAAATATGAGGAATTTTAAAATCCAATATTTCAACAAAACAAAAACAAAATGATTTGAAAAGATACTAATAATTGGGTGAAAAATAATGATAATTTTTTTTTGCTCAGCTTCTCCTGAACCAAACAATTGGGTGAAACATAATTTCAATTCAATTCCCTTAACATTTCCATTTCGTTTTCCTCTCTTTCAATTCCTTTAGAGTGAACAGATCCTATATCTCTTACTAAAGAAAAAGAGAAAAAGGTGACTACAAAAACGGAAAATTCCTTATAATTTCACTCTTTTTGGTGTATAACAGGAAGTTGATGAAGGTAAACTAAAATACAAATTTAAAAAAAAAAAGTTTTCTTCAGAAAACCAGCTAAGGGAAGGAAGGTGATTGCCTATGCCATTTTCCTAAGGCATTCTCCTTGTCATCATTTAATTATTTCCATTTTCCAACCTTGAAGATTCAATTTTATATGCACAAAATATCGTCCCCTTCCATAATTAACTTGTCTACTTTGATGATGGTTGAACCATTTCCTTATATGGCTACAGATTTATATATTTTTTGAATGTTAGAATATGTTATTCATGGATATTCTAGGTGACTTGAAAGAAGGATATTACATAGGTGTTGAAGTGCCTGAAGATGATCCTGATGCAAAAAAACCCTTTTATGGTCCAAATCAGTGGCCTTCAGAAGGTAACATACTAGAGCATGTTCCGTATGTTTTCTCTTCAGGAACAATTTCTTGTTGTCTTTTTTTCAAATTAAACTTTTCATTAATTTGTTGTATTTTCTTTAGCTTGTGATCTTGTTATTTATCTACATGATCACATGTATTTTCTTATAAATGCAACTTTGTAATTTCAAGTACCACTGAGTTGAATTTTTTTCAGCTAGATGCAAAATTTTCTAATTCTAACATATCATCCTATTTTATTTGTGTATTCTGAAGATATTTTACCTGGCTGGAGGCAGGTTATGGAGCAGTACCACAATGAGGCCTTGTAATATATCTTTTACCTTTTGCTGCTATATTTTGTTTTTGGTAGACTTACCAACCAAAATTTTATTAATTTTTAAAGATATATTTAGCAATTTCTTTAGGTGAATGATAGATGCCACCCTTAAGCTTGTAGCAGTTTTTTTTTTATGCAATTATGATCAATATTTTTAGACATATTTCGGGATTTAGTTTTTATTTCAATCCTCCCTAACTCTGTTTTAAGGTTTTTCTAGCAAATCTCTAAAAATAACATCTTGTAATTGTTTGTATTATTGCTCTAAACAAGTCTATCTTCGAGATTTTTATTCAATTGACTAATCTTTCTTGTGCAATTGATGTAGGTTTCGTTAGCGCCTAAAGTTTTAATGCACATGTAATATGAGTTGTACAAAATCATTATACACACAAAACCTTGTAAGGCACGGACTTTTAATCTTAATAATTTTTTGTCTGAGAGGAAACTAGAGAAAATTTAATGTTTTAATTCAAATAACACTTCAATAATTCTATGCTAGAATAATGCATAATAGTTCTAAAGCTGGGAAACCATAAAACCTAATTGAGAATCAAAGAGTTCATTGAAATCTAGATTGTATTTAGCATGACTAATTTAAATCACACATGAAAACCACCAACAAGATTTATCGAAAAGAAAAAGTAGAAGGATGGAAATCACCAAATAATACAATCAAGCATCACACTTGTACATGAAAAACTCTAAAAAATGTTTAGTAATATGACCCCAATATCAACTCCAACGCTGAAGCAATTGTGCATGATGAAAACAACAGCCAAAGGTGCACAACATCCCATGAAAGTCAGTCAAAGCATCTCGACCAAAAGTCAAAGTTGCATAAATGACATCGGTTTCCAAAACGAACAGCTTCGGCGTGTTCGAGATAATTGAAATAGTTAAGATTGACACCTGTATTGGCCGGGGTCGTCGATTGGCAAAATTGAATTTTCACGTGTACGAATCAAGGTGGATTTGACGTGTGTGAACGATGATAATTTGGCGAATGTATGATGCACGATTAATGTAAATAAATATTTGTTATGAATTTAAGAATTAGTACACCATTGCTCTATGAATATTTGATGTTTATAAATGTCATGACGCCATTGCTCTATGAATATTTGATGTTTATAAATGTCATGGTGTCGTGGTGCCCAGAATGGCACTGTGTCACCCAAAATCATGTTCATTAGTTTAAATGCCCTTCTAGCTGCATAATCACCACAGATTTTTTCTCCTAGCACTTTGCACTTTGAAATATATTCTGTAATGTCAATTTAATCTGGAAATAATTGATGTAGTCGGATGATTCATAAATGAATAATGCACATGAAGTACAAAAATAATACCGAAAATCATTTAAAATGCACAAAGATATACTATTTTAGTATCGAGTTAATAGAAAGTCACAAGTCTCATGATGTCTACAAGTCCTGTAATTGTAGTAGAGATGTTGAAGGTAGGGGAAGTCGCAAGAGATAAAAAGATGAGTGTGAAGTAGGTGATGGGAGGAAGAATAGGAGTAGAGGAAATCGAGAACCACAGTCACAAAAGGAAGTTGAGGAAGAGAAAATTGAAGTCATTATAGAGGCTTGTAGAGGAGGTTGATGTCATAGAAGCTATAAGAGGATTGCCAGCATTGAGAAATACTATCGCTAGTGTTTGTGAAATCGCTAGTCATAGAAGAGGTCCGAATTAGCAATGTGTTCATCCTACTTTGGACAAGAGTAAATCTATATGCTTATATTTTTTGGTGGTATTTTACTAAAACAGAAAATATCAACATAGTCCTCAAATAATTCATATGTGACTAATTTAATCTCAAAGTTAGCCCCTCAACTTTACATAATTAATCCAAAATGATTCCCAAAGAGAGTATTTTGGATCAGTTATGTATAGTGGAGGAAATAAATTTAAGCAATATGATACTTTGAGACTAAACTGGCCAAATACAGTCATGGGACTCTGAAATTTACCTCTAATTAGCTGAAGCATGGGTTGAAGCCAGCCTCTATTTGATGCTAGCCTTTTTCTTGTGTAATTCAATGTTGTTGTACTATTTGTATTTCATTTGAGCCTTTTTTGAGCTTACTTTGATATTTTAAAACAATGCCAAAATGTTACGGTACAAACAAAGATGCTGCGGTTAGCATTTCTTAGCTTAAGATTCAGATATTATTTTCACATCTTTACAGGAGAGTGTCCAGGGAAATTGCTAAGATTATAGCTCTTACACTTGATTTAGATGCTGGCTTCTTTGATAAACCAGAAATGCTTGGTGAGCCCCTGGCGACATTGAAGCTTCTTCACTATGAAGGTGATTAAGGCTTTTCAGGACATTTTTTAGTTGTTCTCCTGATGTCCATTTTTCTTGATCATTGATGGGATATGTGCGGATTAAGTCTTTATTTATCATGACATTCAGATAAAATTTCTGATCCTGCAAGGGGAATATATGGATGTGGTGCTCATTCTGATTTTGGTTTGATTAATCTCTTGGCCACTGATGATGTGGCCGGTCTTCAGGTAACCTATGAAATTTTCGTCACTGTAGAGTGTCCATGTCTGCCCTTGTTCTTTCATCATAGATTTTAATACTTTGTGTTGTACCCACTCTAGATATGCAAGAATAAGGATGCCCGACCTCGGATATGGGAAGATGTTGCTCCTTTGAAAGGGTTAGCCTTTCTTCTACAAATAGGAAGCTTTCAATTGCTTGTTCTTCTTCAATGTTGCTACTTAGTTCACATTACGGATAGCTAATCTGAACCTGATTAGATTCATGCTCCATGTTCAAGCTGGGGAAATTATATTTCTTCTGCTGTCAATTGAACTTTGTTTGAAGAGCCACCACCTTGAATCTGAACGAATTGACTGTGTATTGTCCCTTTGCTAGTGTCCAGATTCTAGGAGTGAAATTCTAGCTGAACTTTGCCTATACATACTACGTATTCTTATTTTAACAGTAAGTTCAGCAATTTAGTAGTAGTGTTGAGCTTTTAGTGTAGAAAAAACTCAACTATCTTGATATTCTTTTATCCATTTTTGAAGAAAAGATAATAATCCGTGTCATTCAGGAATATAGGATATGAATGTAGAGTTTAATTGGTTTTATCCTCTCTTTTGCTACCATCAAACTAGAGTTGCTTCAATATCATTTTTTGATTTTGACACATGATTTTTGGCATTCCAGTGGTTTCATTATCAATATTGGTGATTTGCTCGAGCGGTTGAGTAATGATGTCTTCAGGTATCACTTCCCTTAGTGAGGTTGTTTTCCTTCTTCAAATCTTTATCTCATTTTATTAAACTATTGCAATTGAATATGAAAGGTATTCTTCAATATTTAGTCACACATGAGATAACCTTTCCATTTGACAACTATATCTACACTGACCTTGCTAGTTATTCTACATTAATGTCCAATTTCATGTCAGCATGTAACGTTTTGGTTATAATATAGAAAATTATATTGCAAAGATACACATATAAATTCATTATATTTTAGGACTTCATAGATTTTAAAGTTTTCCATAACTTGAGGGAGATGAGAGACACATTAAGTCTTACTTGACAACAACAATATGTTACGCTTGGACCGGTCCCAGCTGAACCGGTCCGGTTCTACGCCCGGCGGTCCAAAGCCGGGCTGAACCCGTTCACAGAAACGACGGAAGAAGAGGCGGGCTAGGAGGATTTTGAGCGTTTCGTTGGAGGGAAATTTTGAATGAGGAGGGTGTTTATGTAATTTGTATCTTTCCTTTTGCTTTAATTAGGGAGATGGGGGGAAATTAGGGTTATCTTGAATTTGAATCTTCATTTGAGATCGAGGTTTTGGTGTTCTTGGGCTCTAGGCTACGGCTAGAGATTTGGAGAGTTTTTCCTTCCTCTCGAATTGAAGGAAAATTGTATCTTGCTTGTTGTTTGCAACTACTAGTGGAATACAATCATTTGCAATTGTTTTCCTACGTTTCCATTAGTTTTTTCTTCAGTTTTCCGCTGTTTTCACTGTGTTCCTGCGCCGGAAAGCAATTTGCTTGGAGAGTTGTTGCAAGAAGTGCATAGGAAATACTTGATTTCAAGTATTTCCTATCACAATATCGAAAAGCCTTTATCCCATAATATGAAGTTAGCTACATAAATCTTTTTTCTTCATTGTGTCCTATTAAGAATCTTTGCTCAGCAACAAAAAAAAGTGCGATAAAAAAATGTTTTTTATACCCAGAATGATGAAAACTTTTCTTTTTATTGTATGTTCATTCTTTTAATGTCCATAGTAATTTTAAGGAAAATTCAATCGTAGGTTTTTCTATCATTTATATTATCTAGATCCTTTAAGAGAAGTTGCTATTTTGCGGTGTAATGTGTTTTCTCTTTTTTTTTTTAATTCCAATATCATGGTTTCATATTTTATAAGTGCACAACTCTGAACTTGTATTCGATACCAATATAATTTTTATTGATTTTGTCCTTTTGCTTGATAATAGCGAACATAATCTCAAATTGCACTTTTAATGTTATGTTATTTGATTTAGTTCTAAGCTATAACATATCCTTATTTGGATGTCATTTATATATAAGTTTTATAAGTTCATTTTTATGTGCAGATCTACATTGCACCGTGTTGTATTAGATGGACAAGAACGCTATTCTGTAAGACTCATCACTTTAGTTTCATTTGTCGCAACAAAAAAAATAGTTGTTTTAATATCTCAACATATTATTTAGGAATTAGTTTTGCTTGTGTTCTTAATTTCCTTGCTTCAAATGATGTCTAATAGTAAATAAGAGAGAACACCAAATTTTACTGCAAAAATCACTAATTCGACTTGCTTTCAAGCAGTTTTTGAGAGAAAACAGAGAAATAACGGAGGGGAAAACTTTTTAATTTGATAGTAAATGAAAGAAAATTGCATGATACAGTTGGAGAGGAAGATCCTGCTCTCCCAATCTCTAGCCAGAGACTAGAGCCCAAGCTAAACCTAAAAAATTCCAAATTTTGCAAAACATAGAATATAACCTTAATCCTATAACAAAAATACTACTTAAAGAAAAAACAAACAACAAATCCATAAATTGCCCCTGGAATTTGAATTTTCCTTCTCAAATCCTTCTCAATTAAACCCATTACACCATAATTAAGAGGGTTGGGCCCCACATGCTGTCCGCCACTTGGAATTGAATATCATTCCTGTGTCCATCAACCAGCTTCTTCATGATCTGTTGTGCCCTCAATAGGTATTTTTTAAATTTCTCTATCACTCTATTCCTTTCCTCAAAGTATTATTCTACTGAGGAGACTGGTATGCTCCCCTGCCCAAAATGCACTAATTGTGGGGTGTCCCTTCCACACATTACTTTGAAATGAGTCATCTAAGAAGCTGAGTAGTATGGTATGTTGTATCAATATTCTGCCAATGCTAACCCCTTGACCCACATCCATGGTATTTTGATGCAAATCATCATAAGTCTCCAAGCTAGTGTTGACTAACTCCATCTGCCCGTCCGCCTGATGGTGGTAAGTGGAGCTTCTCTTCAGTTTGTACCTTGCAACCTGAACAGCTCCCTCCAAAACTAACTGAGAAACACCTTATCTCAATCAGAGAAACTATCCACTCTGGGATCTCATGCAATCTAACCACCTCTCTGATGAATGTTGTAGGTATTATAACTGTGGTGTAAGAGTGTCATAAGGTAATTAAATGTGCATATTTACTCAGTCTGTCAATCACCACCATAATCACTGAGAATCTCTCAGATCTTGGTTAACCATCTATGAAATTCATGGACACCTCCCATTCCCTGTCTAGAAGTACTAAGGGTTGAAGTAAACCCCTTGGAGCCATAGCCATGAACTTATTTCTCTGGTACACCTCACACTTAGCCACCATCTCCTCCATATCCTTATGCATCCCTTTCCAGTATAATTCAACTGTCAATCTTCTGTATGTCTTCTGCACCTCCAAATGTCCTCCAACCGCGCTCCCATGAAACTCCTACAGTAGTTGGGGAATATGAATAGAGGTTTGTGGCATCACAAATCTCCCTTGTTACAGTAGCCTTTCTCCTACGATAGAGTATCCTAGGTGGCTTCTCCTATCCTTTAATAAATCCCTCCTAATCTTCCTCAGCTCCTCGTCCTGCACACTTTCTTCTTTGATAGCCTGCCAATCACCATTAGTGGTATTGAAATGGCCTTCTCCTGGAGCTCTCCTACACATCTTGATATGGCTTAAGTCACCTTATTCTCCAATACTGGTATATACTGGATCTCAAAATAGTATCCCAACATTTTGAACAACCACCTATGATGTTCCTCAATCACCATTCTCTACTCCAACAAGTATTTCAAGCTTCTCTGGTTTGTCCTAATGATGAAGTGCCGACCTGGCAGATAAGAACGCCACTTCTGAATGGCTAACATGATGGCCATCATTCCCTCTCATATACTGACTTAAGCCTAGCCGTGGCTGTCAACATTTGGCTAAAGTAGGCTATGGGTTTATGATTTTGCATGAGCACTTCCCCCAACCCATATCCTGATGCATCTGTCTCCATTACAAAGGTCTGATTGAAATCTGGTAGAGCCAAAATCGGTATTATGGTTATGGCCTTTTTAGTCTCTCAAAAGCTTGGGTAGCTGCCTCTCCCCTCTCCCCATAAGAAACTATCATTCTTTAGCTGCTCTGTTAAGGGCCAAACTATGTTATTATACCCCCTCACGAACCTTCTGTAATAACTAGTCAAACCTAGGAAGCCCCTCAACTCTCTGAAGTTCTTAGGTAGAGGCCACTTCTGCAATGCTTCAATTTTGGTTTGATCGGTTGCCACCCCTTCCTGAGATACCTCGTGCCACAAGTACTCCACACTAGTCTGTGCAAAGCTGCACTTCTTCAGGTTGGCCCTTAGCTGACGATCATGTTGAACTCCTAAGACCACCCTCAAATGCTCAGGTGCTCCTTCTCGGTCCTGTTATACACAAGTGTGGCCTCTGAAAATTCGGCCCCGGTCTCCGCCCGACTGTTTGCTTTTTCTTTCGGGGGAGTTTTAACGAAATTATGTTTCAGGGTAAATTTTGGAAGGCAGATGAGTTTGTAGATAAGACACTACCCAGAGATTTTGCCCTCATTTTGCGAGGACTTTATGATCCGAGTTCTGGTTTCCTATAGGTGTAAGCCCCTATAGTTAATTACCTCTCTTGATCATGAGAGAGAACTTTCAATTAAGGCTAGTCGTCAATCAGATACGTAGAGATACGTAGTATCTGGCATATAGTAGCAGCATGAGCTTGGATTTGAGAATTTGGAAAGTTTGGATGTTTGTGAATTTGAAGGTTTTGTATTTAAAACTACAATTTTCTTCATCCAGCACTTAAAAAGGATGGTGGGGGAATTGATTATGGACCTGATCAAGATCTCATGTTCTATCGTCCCTAGCCATCGTGGTCCCTGATCTACTTAGTCAGAGGAGGTAGTCGACCCAACCTAACAGAAGGATCCTGTCAGCAGCCATGGATTGCTTCGTCCAAGGGGACTTATAGACCTGGGGTGAGTGTTTTTCTAAGGGGATAAATTTGAATCCACCTTAACTAACAAAGGGCTTTGTGACCTATCAATCATATCCTATTGATTTATATCCTAATGATTTGATGTCATTAAGGAACGCATTGGCTCTGGCCATAACCGATATTTTGTGGTGTCATTTAGCGGCAAAGCAACTCGGTTCCGAGGGCCCTGGGTCATAATCGTTTATCCTGCGATGGCATTTGGCGGCAAAGCTGCCGGTTAGAAAACATGTACCATGTCCTTACTAGCAAGAGATTATTTGAGAATGAATCTTAGTGATATTTTCGACTAGGCATTAGTTGTATATGAGCTGAAGTAAATTTTAATTTATCCACCTCGATAAAGTATTGCGGAGAATGGATGTATTTTGCTTTAAATGATTTTATGGTTGAATTTTGATTTTTAAATATCTTGGGATTTGGAATTTTGGAGATTTTGGTAGAGTTTTGAAGTTTTGATAGGCATTTGGAAATTTGGGAGGCACTTGAAAGTGTTTGAATCACCCCTTCGGTTGAGATTTGCATTCAACATGGCCATCATCCGGGTGTGAGAGGTCATTTCTATTTTTATGGATTTAACCTTGTTGACCCTATCAAATTGCTGATAGGAGATCAGGTTTCGTTGGCTTTATGACTTTATTTGTGAATTTTATTTATTGAAGGCTTAATATGAATATATAAAATAAATATCTCAGTCGACCTCGTGACCGTATATTTATTTAATAGTTCGAGCCGTGTCAACTCCTATCTACCTGAATAAAAGGATCGGGTTCGAACTTGGTTTTATTTACTGACCCGCGCAACATCCCTAAAGGTCATGTGTTTTGAAAAACATGCTCGTTGGGACCCATACGAGTGTTTGGTGGCATTTTTGTGATCATTTATTGAACCTTATCGACTCCTATCTACCTGCTTAGGAAGATCGGGTTCAAATTTATTGACCCGTGCAGCATCTCTAGAAGTCACGTGTATTCGTATAACACGCTCATCGGGGCCCATGCGTGTTTACCCCTTTTGTGTACCTATGTGTATACAAATTACGGTGCATGTGTGGGGGTCGGGCTACGCGCACCTTTTGTACTTCAGTAGGGAAAGAAGATAGTGACTTCTTTCTTAGGGTAGGCGAGGAAGGGCTACTTCAATAACGGAAACGTCATAGGGTCGCCTTTGAAAGAGTCAGCGAAAGTTGTTGAAAGCCGGGAGAAAAAGCGAAAGCTTACTCGAAACGGCCCTTTACACCATCCCTCACGATTTGTAAGTACCTCAAATCAAATGGCATCAGCTAAGATCCGAAGCTTTGCCAATTAAGGCTTTGCTAGTATGATTCCGACAAGCCATAGGGCTTAACCCCACAGGAGATGGGCTATTAATTACACCCCTCTAGCGAAAGATAAGAAAAAAGAAGTGGGTGTTCCATTTATTGATTCATTACACTATTCTCAAAATAGTAACTAACGGACTTTGCTTGCTTAGATCAAGCTGGTAGGAATATATTAAATAAGAGATGTATGGTTGAGTAGAAGTCTTCTCCCCTAGTGCTGGTACGGCTGCTCTCGCATGGATGATAAAAAAAACGGGTATTTTGAGATATTTGTAAATGTCTTTTGTCCGCTTGCATGGATGTTGTGGATCCGTTGGCGTCGCGTAGCAGCTTCTGAATTAAGTTGTTCACTATTTTGTACAGGTAGACTGTCGTGCACTACTTGTTGTTTTCTGCAGGTGGATTGTAGTGCATTAACGAATCTCCTGCTTTAACCTGTAGATGCTTGCATTTGTTGTATTTCTTCATCCATATTTGTAGTAGAATTCATCATACTTATAACATACCCAGTACCATGACTTATGAGCACAACCACTATATCAATTACAAATTTTAGGTTGTTCGTAAGGGATCCACTCTCCATGCAATATCTCTACTACTGTTGTTTGTGGGTAGATTCAGCACCTTTATAATGGAGACACTCTCCATGCAATATCTCGTACGGGACAAATATATTTGCTTGCATGTATTTCAGTATTTGTGAAAACTGTTATATATTTATGAGATAGGTACCCATTAGCTATCATTGATAGCAGACAGACTATTTTC